CGAGTTGGCTCGGAAACGTGCATGACCTTACGAGTTCAATGCTCCTATCAAAGTAACCCAATCTCAATTAAAAACTGAACTACCATATGATCCAGCAATCCCATTTCTGGGAATATCTCTAAAAGAAATAAGATCAGTATCTTGAAGAGAGATCTGTATCCCAAGGTCATTGAAGCATCATTCACAGTAGCCAAGATACAGAGACAGTCTTAAGTGTCTGTCAAAAGATGAATGGATAAAGGAAATATGATACACACACAGATAAGAATATTATTCAGCCTTTAAAAAGAAGGAAATCCTGCCATTTGTGACAACATGGGTGAACCTGGAGGACATTATGCTAAGTGAAATAAGCCAGACAGAAAGACAAATACTGCATGATCTCACTTATATGTGGAATCTAAACAAGTCAAATTCATAGTGACAGTTAGTATAACAGTGGTTACTGGGACTGGGGGTTGGGGGGTATAGGGAGATTCTGGTCAAAGGGTACAAAATTTTAGTTATAAGATAAATAAGTTCTGGAGACCTAATATACAGCATGGTGACTACAGTTAACAATAATGTACTGTATATTTGAAATTTGCTAAGATAGATTTCACCTGTTCTTACCACACACATAAATGGTAACTATGTGATATGGATATACTAATTAGCTTGATAATGGTAATATTCTCACAATGTATATGCATTTCAAAACATCACACTGTACACCTTAAATATATACAATTTTTATTTGTCAATCATATTTCAGCAAAGCTGGGGACAAATACATGACCCCGTCTCTCCATGTTCTGATCTATATTCTTAAGAGGCAGAGTCTGTCTGACTCAGCCTAAGTCAGACACACAGCTGGATCCAATCAGCGGGATGGAGAGGAGTTCCCATACTACCCTCTCAGCACTCTCTAACTGGCAAATTTTATAAAAGGGCAGGGTGAGGAGACGGAGGAAATGAATGATAGAGGAAATGACTGGCATCTCAGCGTGTGTGTGTTTTTACAATTCCATTAACTCTCCACGGATGAACCCACCAACAGCCCAACTCTAAACTCATAATATCTGTGGCCTCTAGTTCACCTGTATTTTAATCACCCTTCACTCTGCTTGTAGCTCTCCCCCACAAACACTATGCTGTTTCCACAGCTGAGACTTGACACACAGTGTCCTCTGCCCTGTCCACCTTGGAAACATCTATTCCTCTCTCAAATCCTGTTGGGTTTCATCTCATGTGCTGTTCTTTACCCCCACCACCTCCAAAATAAGTTACTCATATCTTCCTTTTCACTATAGTACTTAATTCTCACATATATTACTTCTGTTGTTGTATATATTGCATTGTGTTCATAAATTCTTATAGGGAGGAATGTCACCCAGTTCATCCTTATACCTCCAGGATCAAAAATACAAGAAGGTGCTCAACAATAATGTTCCAGCACATTGAACAAACTTGATTTTGGGGACTAACTGAAGGCAACTTAATTCTTATTTTCCACTGTCTCTGTGAAAACACTCTGTAGGGGTTGGTTCTTCTCCCATTCCTGAATGAATACTTGGGCAGTCCCATTCCTTTTTCTGGTCACTTTTAGTTAAGTAAAGTTAATAAATGGGGTGCTGGGTGGCTCAGTTGTTAAGTGTCTGCCTTTGGCTCAGGTCATGATCCAGAGTCCTGGGATCGAGCCCCGCATTGGGCTTCCTGTGCAGCTGGGAGCCTGCTTCTCCCTCTCCCACTCCCCCTGCTTGTGTTCCCTCTCTAGCTGTCTCTCGTTCTCTGTCAAAGAAATAGATAAAATCTTAAAAAATAAAAGAGAGAGAAAGGATTTTATGAAAGAAAGAAGAGAAAAGAAAAGAAAAAGTTAGTAACTAAAATATCCAGTCCTGGGCACCTGGGTGGCTCAGTTGCTTAAGCAACTGCCTTCAGCTCAGGTCATGATCCTGGGGTCCTGGGATCAGGCTGCATTGGGCTCCCTGCTCAGCGGGGTAGTCTGCTTCTCTCCGTCTGCCCCTCCCTCTGCTGTGCGCACTCTATCAAATAAATAAATAAAATCTTTAAAAAAATATATATCCAGTCCTGTATAATAGTCACAATTTGCCACCTGACTTAAAGGCTTTCCTCCACCTCCCAGTTTGTGCCTGCTACAGAGGGAAGCTTACATTTAGGGAAAGAGTGTGGCCACTTCCCTCTCCCTGACTTGCCTAACAGCACTCCAATAACTCCATTCAAATATCCTCTTTGAAACCCCTTTACCAGTCTTCACCTTGAATTTTTATGCCCTTGATATGGGTGAGAGTTCAAGAACAGTCTAATCAGTTCTCACCCTCCTATATATTGCAAAAGTCCTACAGAGAGGTCTGTCTGTGATATATTTTTTAAGTATTTTACCTTTATTTTTTTTAAAGATTTTATTTATTTATCTGAGAGAGAGAGAGAAACAGCATGAGAGGGGAGAAAGTCAGAGGGAGAAGCATGCTGAGCCTGATGTGGGACTCGATCCCAGGACTCTGGGATCATGACCTGAGCCTAAGGCAGTTGCTTAACCAACTGAGCCACCCAGGCGCCCTGTCTGTGATATTTCTTGTCATAGAACCTCAGGCAGCACTCCCATTTTAACATTTTTATAACAGACTAAACTGTCACTGCTTGGAATTTTTCTTTTTCTAACTTTCAACATGTTTCCCTCCTTACCCCAAGTCTCCTATCCTCCTACCCTATTCCACTCGTCACTTGGGCATATTCTGCTATTCTCCTACTTCATAAACTTGACTACTGACCCCTGCAGTCTGAATCCCTCTTTCCTTATCTAGCCAATGTTTAGTCATTTCCCCAGTGCTCCTGCAGGGGACTAGACAAACTAATGTGCTTCTCAAGAAAAGGGACCCAATTAAAGACAGGCTACCCTATATGGCAGAAGACACTCCTGGCCATTACTGCTACATTTGGGTCTAGGCATCCAAAGACTGAAGTAGCATGTTGGTTTCAACTTCTGAATCGCTTATATCCCTAGAAACTAGAGTTGTCCTACTATAAAGTCACTTGTCTTTTAGAAACTCAAATCCCTGACCCAGACATGCCATTCCTCCTGTGTCAAGAGATTCTCTATTCACTAAAAGGTTACAAAAACAGGCTTGCCTCTCACCTTTCTTATGTTAGTACCAACAAAACTACTGTGTCATCAGAGCAGCTACAACCCTGATAGGTTTCACTGTCAATGGCCTGCTGCACATGCCTTCCCACAAGCACCTTCCCACCGGAGAAGAACACCGTGATGCCATGGTGCCCCTCCCCAACCAACAGAGCAGAGCCAGCTGTAAAAGGTCGCCCCACCCCACTATGGACATCGGCCCAAGATTCACCACATGGTAAAGCAATAAAGACATCATCATCTGTGTTGCCTGTGCTAGCTCAAAGGATCAACTTGGGAGGCTCAAAGTCCTCCATCTCTATAGCAAGGCCTATATACTGCTGGGGCCTGTATTAATGACCTCATCAACTGCCTATCCCAAACCCGGAAGCCTACCACATTCTTATCGTAGTGGCCTCTTTTCCTGAATATAGCTCACTATGCCTTACTCATCTGCCCATCTCAAGCACTAGCCTTTATTCCTCTAGAAATTTTTCAAGTATATAGTGACACAGATAGATGGTCTTAAACCACAGGTCTAATTTTCTTCTTCTTCTAGAGGGAACTTTTTTTTTTAAGATTTTATTTATTTATTTGAGAGAGAGAAAGATAGCGAAAGCAAGCACAAGTCGGGGTGGAGAGAGGGAGAAACAGGCTCCCCACTGAGCAGGGAGCACGATGCGGGCTAGATGCCAGGACCCCGGGATCTTGACCTGAGCTGACGGCAGACGCTTAACCGACTGAGCCACCCAGGCGTCCTAGAGGGAACTGTTAAAGCAGTGGTTCTAACTTTAGTAGCAAAACGAAGAGCTTTAAAAAATACTGATGTCCAGGCTCCAGTACCAGAGATTCTGCTTTAATTGATCGAGGGAGCAGGCTGGGCGTTTTTTAAACCTCCCCAGGTAATTCTAATGTGAAGGCAAGGTAGAGAACCTGTCTCAAATACAGATGGCTTTATGCTACATAGAGCTTCCATATTTGAGGGGCAGATGGCATGCATAAATGTGGGAGGCTCAGGGAAGAAACTTTCATTTGTTGATCATAAATTATATATCAAGTTCTGTGTGCAGCCTTCTCGTGCAGCCTTCTAAACAGTACCTCATTTCATCTTTACAATCATCCTATGAGGTAGGCACTGTTATCCTTATTTTACAAAGAGGGAAACTGAGGCACAGGGAGTCACACAGAGTAACTGGCATAACCAACTGAGGCAAACCCCAGGTCTGATTCCCAATTCCACACACTTTCTGTGACACCATATTGAGATGTCATGCTTCCCACAGCTAGATCCCAGAAATCCAATTCTACTACATCAATGAATTTTTTTCTGGAACATTTTCCCATGAATGGCACACACAGAGCCCAGCTACTAGGCTGTATTTTAGGCTGCGAAAATGGAGTGAAGTGCTCCAAGGGAGAACTTCTTGATAGGCGACTACCATGTCTGGGTCTTTATTGAAATACCTCCATTTAAGAATTAATACCTGGATCCTTTGTCCATCATTGCTAACTTAAATCCTGCGGCTTTCTATATTTAGTTTTCCTTACAGATGAAGCTATACTACCTACCTACAAACCATTGCTTTGGAGGGTTAGTAAAATTATGTACTCCATCCCTCCTCTGCCTTGTATTCCAGACAGTACACAAAGAATCAACATATAGTGGCTAAGCTGCATAAAACTGCTGCCAGTATCAAGATGGACTCTGATACCTAGGGAACTGGGAAGCTAGAACTACAAGTATGTCTTTTTGTAATGCACCAGTGGTATGTCTAAGGGACTTGGTAACTAAATTCCACCATTTCACTCCACGAAATCCACATTTCATTCTGGCTGAGGTATAGGGTGGATGGGAGGTGGTAGGAACCAGAGGACTTACTGGGAGAGAGCACTTCAGGTGTCTGGATGGTACCTTTCAGATGTTGCAGGGCAAAATCCAAAGCTTGTGCAGGTGTCCCCTGTATCCTGCAAAAGAGGTAAGATTAGTCAGTTCTCTCAAGACAGTTCCCAAATTCCTGACTCCTGTGATCTTAAACCGTTCTTTCTAATCCAACCTCAGCCCTTGTTCAGGACTATGGTTTTTAGAATCCTCCTTGTTCTACTCATTCAGGGACTTCCCAATCTTCCCCTTACAAACCATGCCCTAATCATTTCTACCCTTCTGTTTACAAACATGCACAGGTTCACACTACTTTAAGGAACTTTTTCTACTGCCAACAGTTGCATTTCTAGTCTCACCTCTCCCGTGTGCTGTATAGTTACTGCCTTCATTTCTCTCTCAAACTTTCCCATCTTCTCCTTCCCACCGAATTACCTTAGTTCAGCACAGTCTCCCTGAGTCTCCAGTTAGGGGAAAAAACAAACAAACAAACTTGGCCCCCCCTCAGATTTTATTCTTTCAAGTCGCTCCCTGAGTTATCTTTCCAAACACATAAAAGGCATCATCCTCATTTTAAAACCTGGATCCGCTCTCCCACCCCCACTCCTATACTACTGGATTGGCCGAAACTACCTCTCACACAGAATTCACGGCCAATATATAGTAACGGAAAGAGGGGACGACCATGCAATCATGCAGAGTTGTGACGGCAAAGGCTCGAAGAATGTAGTGTTGTGTGCTTGAACCCCTCAGACCTTTCTGAAGGGCCAGATTTAGTTTACTATTAACGCGGCAGAAAGTTTCAAAACTTGCTCGCGCTACAAAGGATTAGTCAGGGGCATGCGCAAACGTACCCTCGGAGGTTCCGCTTGAGGTTTGGGCAGATCTCGCGTGGCTTGGGGAAGCCTCAAGCCCAGGACATTTTTTTGTAGCGTAGTGGGGCCTTTCCCCTCCCCCCGACTCCCCAACCGGGGTGGATTTGTGCTGTAAACAAATAAAGGAGATCAGGACTCCGCGGGAGAACAAATGAGGCTGGAACAACTAGCCGACACGCTAGCCGCAGTTCTCGGGGACGAGGAATTCTGTCTGCAAGGCTCCGAAGGCAGCGCCCGTTCCTCAGAAACAAAAGCCAGAAATGAGTAAAAACAGAAAAAGCGAAGCGCTTTATCACCTTAAGAAGCGGCGTTTTGTTTTGCTCTTCCACTTTAAGCTTTACGAAAAATCCCCCCGTGGCTACCAACCCACCGGTTTACCCTCCTGCTGTCACTGCGCCTGCGCGGCGTTTGTTTACCAACTCGGGCCACCGCTCAGTCCTGCTTCCCGGGCGCTGGCGTTTACTGTCTTGGTGTGTAATTCATAATGGAAGTCCTGCTTTCAGTCAGGAACACGGACTGGAAGTTAAGGACAGGTCACTTGAAGTGTTAAGTCTGAAACTAGTGAAAATACGAACGGTAATGAAAACTCTGAATATTCAGAAATCGTTGCTTTGTCAGACCTGCCCTGGAAGGCGAATGCACCACTGTAACCATTACTAAGAAGGGGCAAGCAGCAACAGTAAACCTAAAAGCGCAGGTAGTATTTAGGTACCTATGGATAATATGCACTCTGTTATGGAAAAGATGCAAATAAGCCGAGCCCGAAAGCTGTCTTGCTCGAGCAAGCCCCTAGCAGAACCTGCATGGTTAGGACTGACTCTTGAAGCAAAGGTAAAAAGGCCGCCATGCAAATTTTGAAACTAAAAAGAGAGGTAATTCTAGAAGCAATCGCCATTAAAAGCACAGAGCAACAAGCGCATTTTAAGAGATGGTTTTAGGTTCCCTTCGGAATCCGTTTCAGATGTTTTAGACGTCTATGATACTTAGAAAATGAGATCTGGTAGAACTTAGTGTCTAATAGATTTATGAGTGAATCTGTTTGAAAACACAAAACAAGGCAGGCAAGCTGATTTTTTTAAGTATCTTTATGGAAGAATTTCTGTTGATGCATTTTAATGTGCTCAGAAACAAACACATAACTGGTAAATTCAGCTAAACCTGAGTCTTTGTCTTAGAATTGGATAAAAGCACAAATGTTAGGCTATTAAGTTTTAAGTGATGAAGACTTGGATTTGTGATAGAAGAAAATTTCTATCAAAGAAGGTGAGATTTTTAGGTAGGAAATTCGGTAGAGAATATGTATGGACATGTGTGCAGGTGGGGCCAAATTTTGAAGGCTTTGGACATTTGCAGTATGGTTCACATAGAGCCTTCACCTTAAAAAATTAGCCTCTGGGGGCGCCTGGGTGGCTCACTTGGTTGAGCGTTACTGGGGTGGTGATCTTGGGGTCATGGGGTCTGGCCAGGTGGGGCTGCACACTGGGCCCTGGAGACTGCTTGGGATTCTCTCTCTCCTTCTCCCTCTGTTCCTCCACCCAGTCTGCTCACATGGGTGCATGCACTCTGTCACTCTCTCTCAAATAAATAAATAAATTAGCCTCTGGAATATTCTTATTATGTTCAATATGATAGTAAAATTTAGTAAATCTGGTAGTTTAGATACTTTTTAAGGCATATTTGTACCAAAGTCAGAAGTGACTTTAAAATCCTGCTCTGTTATCTAGAAGTACACTCATTTGGTTGAGGAAGGTGATAACCAGTTTTCTAAGCCAGGATTGAATTGACATTTTCTTCATGAAGGAAAAGAAATGTAGATAAGGTGAATTGATTCTTTGTTCACCTTAATGATTAAGACTGACTCATAAAGACGGCTGGCTTACTTTGTCAAGGCAACCAACAACTGTAATACAAACTGAATACTTTTATTGCACTGGATGAGATGGCTCTAATGAAAATTAAGTATGGGAATTGGATGAAGAGTTGATAAAGAACTGTGAATCCTTTGAGACCCTTGGTTTGTTTACATGTGATAAAAATGTTAGTGTAAGACTGGTAAGTGGTCAAATAAAACTTCATCTTCATTCACTGAAAAGAAATGCTTTGATGAGTAAAAGAAAATCACAAACAGATTGGTTACCTATTTAGTCTGTCATATGACTCAGCAGGAAATATACTTAGCAAAATTTCCAGTCAGTAGCTGAAAAAGTGACCCATACCATTTTTTTAAACTGCATTCTGGGCACACTGTCCTGTTATTACCCTGACACTATAAAGCAGTAAAAACAAACAAAACTGCTGCCGTTTTTATCCACATATTTATGTGAATCTGGGTTCTTGAATTATTGTGACTCTGAGACAGATAAGAAATTGCTGAACAGTGAATCTGATATGCATTACCAATTACTCAAAATTGGTTGAATCAACACAATATAATCTTATTAACTGAGTCATGGAAATTTTTTTTCAGGATAGATAATGTAAAACATTTTTTAAAGTATTAAATACATATATAACAGCCAAAGTGCAGTGTTTGTGCATGAAACCTTAATGATAAGGGACTTCAAGGAAATTTTGCTGCTTCTAACTCTGTACTCTTTTAAGTGTTGGGAGTAATTCCAGCACTCTTGTCATACCTAAAGAAAGAATGTTCTCATCAGTTAGCAAGGGAGGGATGGGAGAAAAAAAGGTGAACCTCAGTTATGAATATTAAGCAAAGCCCATTGAGGACATCTTCTCTGCCGAAGCACCCTTCCTCCTGCTAGGGAACTCTGCCCCAGCCTCCCTCCCACCCCCATATTTGCATGGCTAGCTGCTTGATTGCATTTTCATCTCTGATAAGCAAAGATGCCTTTCTGTTCTGCCATCCTCAACATATTAAAGAGTCTTCTATCATAGTCACAAGATGGCTGCCATAGCTTCAAACATCATGTTCTTGTATCAAATGTTTCAAACAGAAAGAAAGGGATATAGCAGGGGGAAGGGGGTGCTTAGCTTTCTCCTTGTGGCCTCTCTCTTCTTATCAGGGTGAAAAATTTTCCCATATGACTTCACAGACTTCCCTTTACATTGCTCAGAACTATATCATATGACTACCTATGGCTGAGAGGAAGGCTAAGAAAGCATGTACAGGAAAAACAAGTGTTCTTTAAAATGGTACACTAAAAATAACAGGACTTTACAGAAAATATATAGGCTTAGGAGCAGACCTATGCAACTTTGTTACCTGAGGACAATAAAAGTTACTATGCTAATAAAAAATAATACCAATTAAATCTCCACTGGCATATGTGTTCAACTTCACAGTCATCCTTTAGAGCTATGCTGCCCAGTATGGTATCCATTAGCCACGTTTGGCTCTTGGGCATTTAAATATGCTAATCCAAATTGAGATGTTCTATAAATGTAAAATATACAACAGATTTCAAAGACTTAGTAAGAAAAAAATGTAAAATAGATCGCTCATTGATAGTTTTTATATCGATTACGTGTTGAAATATTTCACCTGTTCCTTTTTACTCTTTAAAAATGTGGCTACTAGAAAACTTAAGATTACATACATTTCTCATATTTCTATTGGATAGCACTCTTTAGAAACTTTAACCCTGGAACACATGCTTCCTTCTTGTACATATAGGTCTGGAGGACATTTGCTTCCAATTAAAAGCAGTTTCATCAAAATTAAAAATATGATCCAAGGGGCGCCTGGGTGGCTCAGTCAGTTAAGCAATTGATCCTAGGGCCCTGGGATCGAGCCCTTGTCTGGCTCCCTGCTCAATGGGAAGCCTGCTTCTCCCTCTGCCTGCCACTCCCCCTGCTTGTATTCTCTCTCTCTCTCTCAAATAAATACATAAAATCTTCAAAAAAAAATATATGATCCAAGATTTAGCCTTCTCAATCAGTGCCCCCCAAACACACATAGGAGAAACTTTCATTTACACTGTGCAGCTTCACCATTGTGAAAAGCTTAAAGGTTCTTAAAGATCCAAACAAGCCTCTATTTGCACTAAAGAAAGGCATTCCTGAGGAATTGTTTGCTTTTTTCTTAAAGTCTTTATATTGCTAAGGTTTTCTACTTAATTGTGAAAAGGCTTGCCCCTCATCACTTCAAAATGTAAGTATGCCAGGAAATATAATGAGTGAACCAATGTAATTTCTGAATTATATTGACATTATTTCCCCATTTACCAATTGCGTATGCGCTAATAATGACTATATCTGGCATGTAAAGCTTTTATGGTGGGAGATAAAATTGCCACTAGGCAAAAGGGAGAGAGAATTTCAATCCTATATTTTTAAAGGATTGGTATATGATTATGGGCTATCTTGAACAGTGCTGGTGAACAATAACAGGGGAATAGGATGACTTATTTTTTTTTTAAGATTTTATTTATTTATGTGACAGAGAGAGAGAGAGAAAGCATAAGCAGGGGGTGTGGGAGAGAGAGAAGCAGACTCCCTGTTGAGCAGGGAACCCGATGTGGGGCTCGATCCCAGGACCCAGAGATCAGACCATGACCTGAGCTGAAGGTAGACGCTTAACCAGCTGAGCTACCCAGACACCCCTAAGATGACTCTTCTGGTTACCAAGTTAACATTTAGTAAATTGTCCCATTTGATTAGCTCAATTACCACCCCCCCACACCCAGTTAAAATCCATTGAGTTTTTAAGACCCATTTCAGAAGCAACCTCTGAAGCCTTCCCTGATCTCCGCTCTAAAAACTTCATAACACTTTGCTTGTACTATATTTTTAAAGCACACATATTTGGCCTTGCATTAATGTTATTGTCTCTTTGTTTAATTTTTATATGTAGAATAACACCCCCCCTTGAAAACAGTGATTGTATTTTACTCACTTTTCAAAATTCCTCTAGTGACTGACGTATGGTTCATACAAATTATGCACACTTATTTGTTGAATTTAATTGTGTCATATCCTATGGTCATTTAAA